AAAAGAACTGGAATTATAAGAGAAAATAAGTTTTAAAACAACTTCATTTGTGTTTTCTCCTAGGTCAGCTGCCTATAATCTTCTGTGTGCCTTAACTTGTACCTTTAATTTAAAAATCGAGGGCCAGTTACTAGAGACATCAGGTTTATGTATCCCTGCCAACAACACCCTCTTTATTGTCTCTATTAGTAAGACACTGGCAGCCAATGAGCCACACCTCACCTTAGAATTTTTGGAGGAGTGTATTTCTGGATTTAGCAAATCTAGTAAGTAATGATAATTTTCTTTAATACAAATAATTATTCTAAGAAGATTCAAAGAAAACCCTTTCACTTCTTTACCTCTTCTACTTTTTCATCTGTGGTACTCTATAGCAGAAGGAGCTCTGAAGGAACTTTCTGGCATACCACACTGAGAAATCCACCAAAATTCTGGCAATAAAAGCAAGGTGGCAAGGTTTTGATACCTTACATGTCTCTGAACCGCTCACAAAGTATTTTTCTCACTATGTTTCAGTGTAATGAGCTTCAGCATTTCTCTTCTTAGAGATTATCCCAAATGAGTAAATCATCCACATTGTCTCCTTGGTCGTAGGGAAATAGTTATTTTCTCTTCATGTTGACGTTGAACTGTGATTTTATTGTTCATGTACAGTTCCTGGAGAGTGCAGTGGCACATAATACAGGGTACAGAGTCAACTCCTGACTGTGCTTTAAGAAGTCTCCTGAATTTAACATCCATTCTTTACATATGTCCATCTTCATACCCTGTAGTATTATAAATGTTGTTCTTCTCCCAGCATATTTTTTGACATTTTCTTCCTTTTCCTCTTTCTCTCTCTCTCCATAATACATAAAACTTTTTTTCTGCATTCAAACACATTTCTTGATTTTTCTGTATTAAATGAAAGCTTTGACAATTCATCAAGATCAGATCACTATATATATTTATAATAAAGAATTTAGGGATATAACCCTAAAAAGAAAGTGACTGATAAAACAAGAAAAGCATAAAGCTTTATTGAGCAATATTAATATAGAAAAAGGTTTAAGAGAATGGATAGGCATACTGTGTTCCTGGATAAATAAGTCTCCCCAGATTATTACAAATTCAGTGCAATCCAATCAAAACTCAGTGAGATTTGAGGATTAAGAATGAGGTAGAATTTAAAACAATTATAAATTTTACTTGAAAGTACAAGAATAGCTAGGAAAATATTCAGAGGAAGACAAACTGAGAGAGGCTTGGTATTACAGATATCTGAACACAGTATAAGGATACAATAATTAAAACAGGGGTGTTTAGGAATCAGCAATCAGATCAGTTTAAGCGAAACAGATTGTTAAAGAAGTATCACAAACTAATGGAGGAGATATTAAATCATTTAAGAAATGAGGTTGGGAAACGAATTAAGTTGGGTCTTCATCTTCACCACAAACCACATGATACCAAAATAAGTTCTAGATATATGTAAGAACTGAGTATAAAAACTGGAACCATTAATAAAAGAAGAGGAAGAGTAATATTTAATTGCTTTCTGGGTAGTAACTTATGAAGCAAAAAAATGATAGATGGAGACAAGGGAAATGGTGAACAGATTTGACTACATAAAACTTCGAAACATTTCTACTTTAAAAAATAAAAGTTAAATTTAAAAACTAGGAAATATGCTTGCAGCAAAAAAGGTTAATATCTTTAATCCAGGGTCGCCGGTTCAATTCCCGGCCCGAGCTGAGCAGCCGCTGAGCTGCCAACAGGTGGCAGGATGTCTCAGCTAAAAACAAAACAAAATATATCTTTAATCATGAAGAATTCTTATAGATTAATAAGAAAAATGGATCTACAGTAACATGCAGATCACGCTAAAAAGTATATTTAAGTTCACTAAATAAAATCAAGTGTGAACTGAAAAAATAGTAAGATAGCATTCAACTATCAAATTGGGCAAAGATTATTTTTTAAAAAAACAGCTGGAATTGTAAATGGGCAATTTTTCTAGAAAGCAGTTTAGACATGGATATCAAGATCCTTAAGATTTTTTTGGCCTCATAGTTCCACTTTTTAGAATTTATCCTAAGGAATTAATGTTCAGGTATTTATCATAGCATTATTTTTTATTTATATTTTTAAATTGAGGTATATCTTACCATCAGTAAAGTACCCAGATCTGAAGTGAACAGTGTGATGAATTTTTGCATGTGAATACATCACAAAACCACCTCCCAGATCAAGATACAGAACATTTCCAGCGCCCAGAAGGCTCCTCTCAGTCAGTACCATCCCCTTACCAAGAGTAACCACTATTATGACCTCTATTGCCATTTATTTATTTTGCCTACTTTTGAAATTCATATAACATTATTTATAAATAGCAAAAAATTAGAACATTCTAAAAGTCAAACAATAATGAACTCATTAAATTGTTGGCTCTCCACTGATGGAATAATATGAAGCCATAAAAAATATCTTGGTGCAGAATTTCAGTTTAGGAAGATGAAAAAGTTCTGGAGATGGACGGTGGTGATGGTTGCACAGCAATGTGAATGTACTTAATGCCACTGAACTGTCCACTTAAAATGGTAAATTGTATGTTGTGTATATTTACCACAATAAAAAAGGTTTTGGGGACTCTAGGTGAAGTATATAAAGGAATTTTTGTACTATTTTTATATCTTTTTGTAAGTCTGAAGCTATTTCAAAATTAAAAGTTAAAAATGTTTTCGGAGGGCCG